CAACAACAACAACAACAACAACTCCAGCAACAGGCTGGAGCGACTGGCAGTCAAAGTCATTTAGGTACAGCTACGACGGGTCCTACAACCCAGCAGCATTCCGCCCACGCGGCCTTCGGCTTCTTCGGGGCTCCGGGCTTCGGCCCCGCCAAGATGCTGAACGAGTTATTAGGAAGGCAGGTCAAACAGGCCAGTGACGCTGGCGGATCACCGCCAGAGGGCGGTCACGGGATGACCGGTGCCGGCATGGATCCCGCCTCGAATTTGCAACCAGGCGCCGTGGTTAATTGTGATGATCCCGCCACGGCCGACCTCACGCAGCACATGTTACGCGACATGCTTCTGCAGGGGCGCAAACTCTCCGCTCTCGGCGTGCAGGAGCAGCCGAATAATAACAACAGTATACACAGTAATAACAACAATAATACTACCGCGGAACTACTTAAATCACAGCATCAGCAAAGTCCCCAACAGCATCAACAAAATAGTGATAGTGCGCGCAGTGGAACAGTGCAGAGTGGCGGGGAGGAGAGTGGTGATGGTAATAACGTCGTGAATAGCGCGAATCACAGTGATCGTGATACCGTGATGCCGGGCGATGCTGAGGACAGCGCTGAGGATGCTGCCTCCGCGGCACGCGCGATGGAGGAGGCCTTTGCCGAGGCCGGTATGGAACCAGGAGCGAACTTGGACGGATCGGATTGTGAGCAAAGCCTGCCTCCTAGCCCAACGGCACCAAGGTCAGGCTCGGTCTCCGTTAAAGAAGAGATACAAGAGTCGCTGAATATCAAACGTAGCCCCAGTCACTCTCCTTGTCCGATCGTGCCAAAGACCGAGACGAACTCTCCAACGACAGAGATTAAACGCGCTCGTGTGGAGAACATCGTCAGCACGATGCGCAGTAGTCCGGCGCTTCAGCCGGCAACGGTAAACGGTTGCAAGAAGCGCAAGCTCTATCAACCTCAGCAACAGACAGTGCATCACGTTCTCCAGCATAGTGTCAATGACACCATGATGGACGACGAAGACGAGAGCGAAGAGGAGGAGGACCCGACGACGATCAGACAGAAACGGGAGGAGAAAGATAATTTGAAGATACAATTGAAAATGTTACACGAGCAATTGGCGGAAATGCAGCAAAAGTATATGGAACTCTCCAGTAGAATGGAGCCAGACACAAGTGAGAGTGGCGACGCGCCACCAAGTCCTCCTCAGCATCCACCGCAACCGCCACCAAGACCGCCACGACCTCATCCACCGCCGTACAACGGCCTCCCGGCCCTCCCACCTGATCACCCTCACGCAGCAGCTGCTGCCATGTATCACATGGGGCATAAACTCTACTTTGAACAACAGCATGCTGCCCTCGAGAGGATGAAAAGAGAACATCAAGAAGCGGCCGTGCGACAGCAGCAGCAGCAGCAACAGCAACAGCAGAGTCAGGCAACTGTTCAATATGAGGAGGACATGGGATACAGGTATGTTTCGCTTATCTTTTTTATTTCTTTTATATTTTCATACGATTTATAACGTGAATATTATCTCATTATTGCATTAATTTTCTGTCACGAGGTGTAATAC